CCCTGGGGTTAGAAGGAGTTCCATTCCTGAGATCGTCTTTACATCAAATTTGTATGTAAGTCATATCATTTATATAAAAGCATATAAAACACTTAATGAGCACTTCCATATACACTAAAACATCTTAACCGCAATGCAGCATTTTAATAATGATAACACGCACGTACATACACACACACACAAAAAGAGAATCTGATTGTTGAATGACTAGTGCCTGTTTTCCTAGAGACCCATGGCATCTCACCTTTCTCTGACTGCTTTATTATTTCCACTTTAGTTTTGATTATGATTGTTGTTCTTTTCTGCAATGCATCGCCTGTACTTTCACTGCTTGCCACTTTCCCCTCCTTCCGTCCTTCCTCCCTCCCTTCTCTTCCTCCCTTGCTATTCCGTCCATCCGTCCTTCCTTCTGTCCTTCCTCCTCCTTTCCTTTCCTCACTGCCCAGTGCCCACAGGCACCTGCTTGCTGCTCAGGACAAGGCAGGAGGTCTGGGTTCGCTCACTCGTAAGTCGCGGTTGTTCTTTACGTGGAGGTTCATAACCGGGGGACTGGCTGTACAAGAAAATATTAGTAAAATCAGCACATGAAGGAAAACGTGAGAGAAGATAGCATTTAGAACAAAGATGTTTCAGTTGTTTGAATCTGTAGACAGGACAAATGGAGGGGTGGTTGTTGTGTTGGTCGTTTGTCTTTTGCTTTGCGAATGCAAAATCATCCATAGATGTGGCAATTATGGCTTTGCAGCTTTTGGGACCTATACAAAGTTTTCACTACTAGCAGTGTGTGTCTTGGGCTCTTCCCAAAGGCATCTGCAATTGAGTAACTCAAGTGTAGTTTTACTGCTGTTCTGCCCTTTTAGTTGTGCTGCTTAGTCAGTAGTTAACTGTGTTTTGTATTCAGATTTGGTTGATTTTGTAAGCTGCCCAGGATATAGCATGCTCTGATCAAAAAATACTTTATGTGTGCATGCATGTGTGTCTGTGGCATATAACCACATTCTTTAATTTCCCTCAAAACTTACCTAGTCCTAAATTCAGTCAATTAGGCTCTGTTTGAATTAGAATGAACATATTTATTCAGCATTTAAAATCCATTTTTACATTTTCTATTTTATTAATTGAAGGAAGCCATAATGCTACATTTAATTCTAGAAAGCATTTATGTCAAAATAAATAACATTGTGTGCTCCTTTATAAAATCTTTTTCTCCTAACCCCCTTTCATTCCATACACACTTCTTTCTCTGAGTCCTCTCTGTTTGGGGCTTTTACCTTTATTTATACATCTTTCACCTGATTTATACATCTTTCACTTGCTGCCCTTCTTAGTGTTCCAGCCCACATGCCTTTTCTCCCACTGCCAGCTTTTTTCCCTCTGCGTTTTCTTTCCTCTGTTTCCTCCTAACTCTTTTTCTCTTCCCCCTTAAGTTTAAGCAAAAGAATGTCCAGAGCGTTCACTCTCTACATCCCCCATGTTGATATAGGTGATCATGTAATATGGACCACTGACTGCAAGCAGCAATCAAAAAACATGTACCAACTCCAGCCTGTGCCTCTGAATTTGAGGAGAGGAACAACCCATGCACAGCACCAGAATTCTCCTGTTTTCTTCCTTGCCTCTCCCTATTGAGGACCCTAAACAGAGCACACAGGTTCCCACAAAGAAGTGGGGATGTGCTGCAGATCTCTTGGAATGCCATGGTGGGGTTGATGGCTCACAAACCTCAACAGAAAGACTTACTTTGCAAGCACTAGTAGAATATTTATTATTTATTCAATTTTGACCCTGCATTTCTACAAGAAATTACACAGTGGTTCAAGAATACTAAGTAAAGGAAACATAGTTTCCTCTTTTTGGTTTTCTCTTCCTCGCTGCCCTTCCCCACTCTTGCTGACACAAAATGTAAATGTTCTTAAGTCGTAGTATCGCTTTCTTTTTAATAGTCTTTTAATAACTCTGTTGTGCTAGCAGAGTGGGAAAATAGTACTGAATTCTTATCTTGGCAGACTCTTATCTGTCTGCTGGCGACATTGATTTCCAAAACAATCACAATGCATTCTCCAAGATGTTCTTTGTAGCTGTTGAAAAACTGTACAGTGCAAAACAGGGACTTAAATAATCTGTAATCAGTATAGTACACCACACTCTAATTCCTAAACTTTTAGTAAAAGTTGGGACAGCTTGTTTTGGAGGCACCAGTGAGTCAAGGGAAGGCCCCAAGCACAATATCATACTCACTATACCTTTACTTGCTTATTAGAGCTCATTGATGCCACTTCTTACTCCTCTACAGGTGTCTGAGCCCAAATCAGGCCTGTTTGTATTGAGTGCAATATGTATACACTCCTATTTGAATTTAACCCCAGCGTGCAATTGTTGGCCATAACAGTTCCATCCTGTGAGGAATGAGCTGTTCTGCTCTAAGGCTCCTGTATCTTCAGTAGCCGTTTTCAGAAATAAATCTCTTTTCTTGGAAGATTGGGTCTGAATCCCGGCAAATTTTATAAGGAAGTGGTTTTATATTACGATATTTGTATGCTACTCTTTGACCATCATGATTCTCAGAGCGGTTTACAGTAATATCAGAATTATTTGGAAAGATAATATTGACTTATAATACTTCTGATAAAATTAACTACCATCACAGTGTTGAATCCCATAAAACCAGGGCTGTATGAGAAATTTGTCTCAGATTGTTTTCAATCAGGATTCAATCAGGATGACTTTCCAGACCAAATACAACTCAAGCACAATCAGCAGTCAAAGCATATCCATTATCAAGCTTGCATTATGCTTTCTGAACCAAAAAAGAGAGAGTTGAATGGCATGCATACATTTGAAACCTGAATAAACATTTATAAAACAAGGGAAGAAGAATGTGTACATTTTCATGCTACAAAGAAATTATGAATATGTTTTCATCGGAATAGGAAAAAATGAAATCATATTCTGATAGGGGCATGTATCAGAATGAACTTCAAGGTAGAATGGCAGAACTTCAGATTCAAGATTTGGCCACACAGATACTCTATATAAAATGGATGGACATCCTGTGTCACCCTTGGCACACCACCCAGTTTGGCGTTGAACTGTTGTGATACAGCAGCAAAAAGATTTCTGTTTAAAATCTGCTCTTCCTCAGACTACCAGAAGTTGTCCAGACCTGCCATAAGATTGATTCAGTAATTCATTAATAGGAGAAGATACTTTCTGAATATTGGTCTGCTGGTCTTAAGAGAATTCTGAAAATACCAGCACTTTCAGCTTTCATTAGTTTAAAATAAATTTTGTTTGGTGCTTAGTTGCCATTTCTCATAGCTTTGCTTAAAAGGGTGCTGGTAGCAAAAGAAATTTGGGGGTTATTCTCCTCCTGATTCAACCAGATGCAAATCCAAAGTCTAGAAATCAGTGTTTGAGAAGTTTTTGAGAACTCTGTGCAAAAATACACTTCTAGATTCCAAATGCAGGGGGTGGCTGTGAGAGCTTGGAGAGGCATCTGAATGACCACTGTTTTGAAACAATGCCTGGGATCATTTAAATGAGCAGCTTGGGTTCTTCTCCTAAGGAGCCAGTAGACTTCTTGACTAATTTTAATGCAGCCATTTGATCCCAGTGCTTTACAAGAAGACCAGTTTTAAAATTCCCCTTAGTTTCAAAAGCGTGTCTGAGGATGTGGAAGAGAAACAAATCTAATCACTGTTGTGCTCACCAAATGTATCTTTCATGGTTTTTAGGCTGTTATCAGAGTGCTGGACTGGGTGGATTCTGGTTTGATCGAAACAGCCAGCTACGTTACGGGTTATTTTCTTCTTTCAGAAGACACGAGGGCTAGTGTGGCTGTCTCACCTTAACTGTTAATCAGCTGTGTGGAGCCAGCTTTAACAAGCTGTTTCTGGAAAGATCACGTAAAGTGCCAAAAGCTAATTACAAGGTCTTTCAGTTAGAGTAACCATGATCTGAACTCTCTGTATGAATTTAATGCCCAAATAAGTCTCTGCTATATTCCTCTGACAAGCAGTTGCTTTATTTCCGGATTTTTGTTTTCTGGTGAGAGTTCTTTATATGAAATACAACAGGCAAAATAACACGGACACCTGTATGTACACAGAAAAATACAGCTGTGTAATATTTGCAGGAAGCACAAACTGCGTAAAATCAGTCTTGTTTCCTTTTGAGTGTCGGGTTTTAGTGCTACCACATTTCACGTATTTGAAACTGACTTACAGTCACAGTTTTGATGGCAGTTCTCCATGTAGAATTTATTTATTTATTTATTTATTTAGAGTATTTGTATGCCGTCCCATTGCATAGCCTCGGGACGGCTTAAATAAAATAACATAAAACATAATACCAATAAAATCCAGATCTACCCTGGCTGCAGATTGAAACCTATAAGCTGCAGTTAAAAGTCTTAGGGGACTATTCTAGGAAGGCAGCATCTTGTCTAGATTGGCCCTGCCAAAAAGCAAATTCCATAGAAAGCCCACTGTGCACTAGACACAGTAATGGTTGTCATGGGAATTTGAACTTGCACAAGGGAATGGTGTCAGGGCAACAGGAGAAAAGAGTTGGAGTCCCAGGGCCTTGGAACAAGCTCACCGCTTTCAGCTACGGGGTCAGCCCCTGCTCTTCCAAGCTCTCCTCTTTCCATGAGCCCAGTCTTCCCCAACATGGCGCCCTTTGACAGTTTGGTCTACTGTTCCCAGTATTTCTGGCTGGGGCTGGTAGCGGTTGCAGTTCAGGATATTTGGGGGCAACTGGTTGGGGAAAGCTGCAGTAGCCTTTTGATGTGGGAACAGGCGTCTTCTGCTTCTGAGTGTGACAAAGAGAGAAAATGCTCGGAACTGACAATTCTTGTTTATTTGGTTCTATGACTTCTATGGCTAACAAAATCTCAGCTGCACACATAGCTGTAGACACTAACGGTGTGATACGTTAAATACCTGTCTGGATTTGTTGCATGCATACAGTCCGCCTTAAACATATCTTCTCACATTTAGGTCTACTTAAAAGCACCTATGATTCTGAATGGTGTTTGTGTTATTTGGAAAGGCTGGATAGATCTCCAAAGACTGGATGGCATGGGCTGCCTAGAATTTGATGAAGATCGGGCACAGGTAAGGAAAGCGGTTCTGGAGCTCTCGCATGGCAGTACCATGTCTTTCCACTCTCTGCTGCCTTCAGTCATTAAAACAAGAAGGAAGCTAGCGCTGACTAAGACTTCTGACCATTTTTGGTCTTCTGTTCTTTCTGTTTCTCCTTACCGGTGATACTCCTAATGTGTATGATATTTTCTTCTTGAACATTTAACTATGGTATTCTTCAACTGTAATTTGAAATATTCATTGTTCAAAGCATCCATATTTGTTTTCATGTAACTTTATGCTTCTTTTATTTACTCTGTAGTTCAAGGGAGGGCAAACAGAAGCTTGCTCAGGCAGCATGAGCGCCTCTGGAGGAGGGGTATTCAAGGGGTTTGATGCCTTTTTTCCTAGTGTTCCTCTCATGCTAACTGATTAAAAAAACTATCAGCAGAAACTGAAAAACCTTTTCTTTGACAATTGTTTGTACACAACCCAGATTTCCATGTTCAGATGTTCTAATAGCAACCCAGGAGGGGATGGTTCTTGGATTGTTTGTTGAAAGCAATAGTAGCTATAAAGCACAACATCACTATTTGTTACATACAAACTGGACCAGGGTTTTCTTAGCCTCAACCCTGCATGAGTTTTTTCCTTGGTTCAAATGTCTGTCCAGTTTTCCTGACTCCAGCTTCCACTGCATCCCTCCTTCTTTGATGTATGTGCTGCTTTCACCCGTCCTTAGTACTCTGCTTCTCTTCTTTGTGGTCTCCTAGCCTTCAGCCGTGTTACTAGCCTGATACGCCTGTCGCCTCCTCAGCTTTTTGCCCCATGCAATGCTTTGACAGGCACTATGAACAAGGCTTGTGACGGATAGCCAATATTTAACTGCTTTAAACATACAGAAATTATTACATTTGGATTTAGTTTTTCAAAATACTTCCATAAGATGATGTGGTTTGTATTTAATTACTTGCTGGCCATGTACTGACCCTCTGCTATTATCTGTTTGGGACTTGCTTCCTTTTCATAAGAGATGAACCCCCCCCCCCATACACTCACACACATTTTTCCATATTCGTAAGAAAACATAAAGATTGCCAAGGAGGGCTTGGTCTACTCGAAAGCAGAACTTAACAGGAAACTTGCACATTGCACTTTGGTGCACAGTACTGAGGACTTTGCTGACATTTATTGATTGACAGTTGTTGATATTAAACTAGGCAGGGCCACGGGGGCACCCTTTCACGTCATTTCACAAAATCGCTTTAGGGAACAGAAAATGCCCTGGGCAAAAAAGGCGATTTGACATTTTTGCGCTATAGACGTTTTATTTTAAATTTAAATTTTAATGGGCTTAGTCCCTTGGTAGATTAAACTGTAGCTGGATTCTTAGAGCAAATCCTTATTTTCCTTTTAATGTAGGAAAGTTTTGCCTATTGAAGAGATACTGTTGCATTGTATGTAGTAGGTTTGTATTTTGACAGTTGTCGTTTACCCATGTTGATTAGGATAAAAGTAAGAATTACTGGACGAGTAGGCCTCTCATTCTTCCTGGTAAATGCAGTTTCATCTCATACTGTTAAACACTGTTCCTCAGTATTGGTCCATCAGGACCTCATTATAGACTGTAAAAATAAATTTACCCAGGTGATGCATTAGAAGCCTTTTCAAATTATGTAAAACATTTTTTTTAATTTTGGCAAATGGAAACATTTTGGTTCATTTTCTGTTTAATGCAGTACAGGAAACCAGCTTTATGATGAGAAAGCAAGATGCCTACTTTAGACAGTTTGCAGTTTATTTGAAAAATTGCATAGCTTAGGTCATCATTTCCAGTCTTGATCCTTCTTCACTTTGATTTGTGATACTGATGTGCATAACTAATGCACATTGATAGGTATAGAGCAAGAAGGCTCACCAGAACCTTCCCCCAATCCCACATGGTCTTCTCCTGTGCCTCATAATGGCGTGTTGTGGTAGCTATCTGCAAGAAGTCAGGATTCGGGGAGCCTGCTGCCTTCGCACAGGAACTCGGTTGATATTGCCAAACAACCTGTCTTACAAAACTGTCTTTTAAATTAGCCTTCTTTTACCAGATGCCCTTCAGATGTTTTGGACAGCAGCCTGTATCATCCCTGCCCACCGGGCAGATTGACCGGGGCTGGTGGGAGCTGTTGTCCAAAACATCAACAAGGCAGCAAGTTGGGAAAGGTTTTACATGTACAGTCAGTGATTAAGAGCAATCAAATGATAAAACATTACCTAGAATCTTTCATTTGCTAATTTTACATTTATGACCTGATACCTCATTTGTCCAGCTACCTAGAAACAGAAAAATCTCTATGCAGCAACAGTTCTGCATTACCAGTAGGTCATCACTTCATGTTGTCTTGTTTGCTCTTACCCACTTTTGTCTACTAAATGCTGGTTGAAGACAAGCAACCATTCTTTGATTCAAATGAAACTAAAGCTGTTTCCTGCATGTTTCCCTGCTTCTGGCTTGTAGCAAGAAGATGCATTGGCACAACAGGCTTTTGAAGAAGCTCGGAGGAGAACTCGTGAATTTGAAGATAGAGACAGGTCTCATCGGGAGGAAATGGAGGTGAGAGTTTCACAGCTGCTGTCAGTTACTGGTTAGTACTCTATCAAACATCTAGATTTTTTTCAGTAATTTTTCTGTCTGGAATATGTTCTTAATTTTGTTTTATTTAGATGCTGCCATTTTATGCAATCCTGTTTGGTCCAAATGCATTACATTATACTTTAGTAGCACAGTCCTCTATACTAGATGTCCAGATGATGGACACCCCTGAATTTGGCTGTTATGTCCATCATGTGACCTGCTGGCAGGGCAGATGGTGCAACATGGACTTGCTTAGCTTTTCCATCCACCCGCACCTCTCTCACTATCCCCATCCCTTTCCTCCCTTTCCACGGCTGGAATCCTTACCTCAAGAAAAGGAGGCACAACAAAGCGATCGGCAGAAGCCAGAAAGGGCTTGGCAGGGTTGTGAGGAGAAACGCAGGGTGCGGATCAGGAACTGAAATGTGCACAGTACAAATTTTAAAAAAACTATTGCGAAGGTTATGATGCTTCATGGGGAATTGCTTATGCTAATTTTCTGTATGCAACATTTGTACATTCTATTTAATATTCTGGATACACATTTTGCTGCGTTACAAAGATAGAGTTCCTATTCCTTGCTGGGATAACAGCAAGGGAAAAAAACTTGATTTAAGAGTGATGTATAATAAATACTTCTCTGACCTACATAAAACCAGACCTTTCACATGCAGAGCAGTGTAGTGGTCAGAGTGTTACCCTGGGTCTTGGAAGATTTGGATTCAGTTCTCCACACAGGAAGGCCACTTTGAGCCAGCCACTGACTCACAGCAGCTCATCTCACACAGATTTTTTATTTTATTTGCCTATTATGTTCTGTGCCATCCAATAACCAACACTCTTTGAGTGGTTTACAACAGCACATCAAAATACAACATAAAATAGCCCATATTAAAACATCATTACAAGTTTGCAAGGCAAAATGTAAAATCAAAATTTAAAATGGATAAAAAGCTGCAATAATCTGAAGAAAATCTTGAGACCTGTTTAACAACTAACAGGCCCACAGAGACTAATGATGCCCTGCAGTAGAGGACAGTCTTGACCTGGTGCCAGAAAGAGAGTAAAGTCGGTGTCAAGTGAGCCTTGTGGGGAGCTCGTTCCATAACTGGGGGCCAGCACTGAAAAGGCCCTTCTCCTTGTTGCCACCATCCACGCATCCCTCAGAGGCGGTAGTTGGAGGCAGGACCCAGAATTGGTTGTTGTGCCCAGGTAAATGAAGTTCAAAGAAGTGTTCATGCAGGTGTCATGGTCCTAAGCCGTGTAGGGCTTCATAGGTTAAAGCCAGCTCCTTGAATTGGGCTTGGAAACACATACGCAAGCAGGCCAAGATCGGTGTTACGTGATCAGACCATCAGGTCCCTTTTATTAGACTGGCTGCCATGTTCTGGCCCACATGTCCTTCCCCTCCTGCTGCCCCCCCCCCAAATCTTTCTGTGTGGGTCTTCTCCTGAAAGCAGACAGCTTCTTTTCCCCTGTCCATGCAGCCCTTTTTGCAAATGGGGGGCTTAGGAGACGGCATCCTTCAAATACAGATGCACATGCAGGCAGGCAGGCAGGCAGCTTTAGAGTATCTGTGAATTAGCTTGTACGATTGAAGCCATTTGGTGCCATGAGCCTCAGACTCCTTTGATACCCAGCACCACCCCTGTGGCTGTTCCTGCTCTGTTTGCTTGAGTGATTGATTATATCCCAAGCTTTTCTTACAAGAAACACAGTGGCTTACATCACTCTTCTCCTGCTGCTCTCAATCTTGCCTCCATAACAACAACCTTGGGAGGTAGGTTGGGCTTTAAATGCCCCTTGATCCTAGGAACAAAAAAATATTCTTCCTCATTTTGCTGCTAGAGACAGTCCTGGCACCCTGCCCCACTCCAGCCCTCCAATGAAGCAGTGCTTTTTTCTTCTTCCCTCGTCCCCCTGATATACACGGTGCCCTTCACAATTGAGAAGAGGGAAATTGGAAGCCCCCTTGAGTTTCTTGCATGAGGAAGGAGGTGGGGATATAAATTCAGCTAATAAACTCTGGAGACAGCAGCAAACTCTGGAGACAGCAGCTACAAAGTGTGTAAGCGGAGTACCGTAGGAGTAGCATTTTCATTCATCGGGTAGCTGTAAGTTGCAGGTGACTTGAAAGCATGTTACAACAACAAATAAAATGTGGTCACCCTATAGCTAAAACCAGTCCTCGTTATTTTGGAAATAAGACGAGTTTTAACTGTAGACATAATCTTACATGATCAACAGTAATAAAATACTTGGAGAACAAATTGCATATTTTAATCTTGCACACTTTTCTGCAACTCATATGTCTTAAAAGTAATCTTGATTGTGGAATATGTGAAAAGAGGCGCACAGTTAACTAGAGTTTGAATTCTGTTTTCATCAAGGGAAGATGCAGCAAAAATGTTTTTCTTTTTCAAAGCTCAACTAAAAACCTTCTATTTTCATATCACAGGGTTATTGTACAGATAAATGTAGAATGCTTAATGATTGGAATGATGAAGATTGAAAGTTTCATTGTTAGAAATGTAAACCTTGGGTTGCTGTAAAGTCTGCATAATTTTTTTTAAAAAATCATGCATGGCTTTAATAGGTACCACATTTGTACTCAATAAAGAGAGAGACGTCTTTGCAATACTTGGTCTGCCCCTACCAAAAAAGAGAGGCGCCAGCTCTTTGGAAGCATTCAGTGAAACCTTAGCAGCATATGAAAATGATCATAGATTTGTTCTTTATTTATACAACTTCTTTCCTAGGAGAGATGTTCCTTTATTTTAGAACATGCTGTGCAACATTTTTAGCTACAAGAAATTCGTAGATTTTTGCATGTGCAAAAAAGGGCAAAATCATTATTAAAAGCTTCACATACACTCTGCATTCATAATTTGAATCTCCCTGTTTGAAGCTACTGTTTGTGTAACTAGTATTAACAATGAGACTAATAAACAAAATAAATAAAATACGTTCTTACTTGAAAAGGGAGAAAAGAAGGTATGCAGCATCAGCAATAACCAGAACATTGAAACGGGATAATAAGGCATATGTTTTGAAAGAAGGCACTTGCTTTGAAATATAGTTTTAAAAATGTTTACTATTTAGAGTAGTCAATTGAAGACTTTGAGAACACTAAAATTAATTAGTTCTTTGATTGATTGATTGATTGATTGATTTAAAACCCCTCTGGGAAACACTTTCGGGGATCATGACGGGAGGGGTGCTTATGTTATCAGTGTGTGAACTTTCACAGTTGTTAAAATGTGTTACACATTATTACGAGGAAGTTGTCTTTCATGCTATTTTCCCTTCAAAATTGAGGATGCGAAACCTTCTTAATGGCTGTTAACAGTTGAAGCCAATAGCAGACATTCCTGTACACAGTTGTACACTGGGGCAGATGGCAAGTATAGGGGGCAGATGGGCAGTTCTAGTTTTGAAGCTGGGCTCAGGGAAAGCAACTGGAAACATACAGGATCTTCCATGAGTAAGAGGAAAACTTGATAATGTTGGTATTGGATAATATCATAGCCAGAATCGGGGGCAGCGTTCCCTAAGGAAGAGCATATTTGGGGTACGTGGTGTTGCCTGTGTGGATTTTTTGTATGAATAGGCAGGAGTCTTTCCTGCTGGGATGTCTGTGGAGATGATAAGTGCTTTAGAATCATAATTATGATTCAGAATTTTTAAAAATCCCTACAGTTTAATTGCAAGTTTTCTCATGAGCACTTTTTCACAACACTTGTTTAACAAGGCATTAATTTAGGGGTACACAGGTCATGGGAGGAGGCTGTAAAAATGATGCAGTGCTATAAATCAGTGCTGTCAGTCTGAAATCGTCACAAATGGCAGCAGCTGAAATCAATTGAAGGATTAGATTCCCGCTTACCAGTCAGATAGTAAGCCCTTTAGATGCTCCATGCTAAAGGAACTGGAATTCCTTCCACGTAAAGAAGGCTTGGCCTTGGAAGGTCTAGAGTATGCGGGGGAAATCATGCCCTCACACTTTGCTGACAGAGTTTAGGGCTAGAAAATTGGAGTGGTATATGTTAAAAAAGCTGAGATTTTTCAAGTGCTGAATTCTGCAGCCAAACCTGGATTTAGCTTCTTTTCATCACCTGTACAGAATTATGTAACACAGTCCTACACAAAGTTATATATAGAACCAGATTTTCCTGTTGAACACCTTGCCCAATATCCTGGGAGCTTCAGCCTGTGCACAATGCCTGATAAGAGTTCAGAAATGGAGAGGGGGGAATGGAATTGGATTTAGAGTTCTCAGAAGTGGAACCTTAGTGCCTTGCGCAGCTTTCTCCCCACCCCCCCTTATTTCCAGAATAAATCTGTGTTAACAATAAACGTTTTTTCATTTGCGTGCTTAGCGTGTGTGATCTATATGCTCCATTAAATGGGGCGGGGGGGGGCGAAGCGTTGATGGACAAAAAAGAGGCATTGCATAGTCAATTAGCTGCTGGTCATGGCAAAGGATTTACATTGTGAGAATAGCGGAGAGCCAAACGATGCTTCAGCAAAGTGCTGTTGGGTCCTTCCTTGCCAGTCCATTTGCATGATATGATGGAATGTGTGAATCAGTTGGCCAGGCCATCATGAACTCACTGGTTGGTAGATGCAGTTTGACTGATGTCATGGCCAGGAGATTGCCAGTGTGCTCGCTGGGGTTCTTGTGGAAGCCTGTCTTCCCACATGACCTGCCACAAAATGGGGATTTGACTGAAAGCCGTGTTCTGCATTGTTGGAAGGCAGTAAATAAGCTTTTCACTACGGTTCCAAACCCATGTGCCTGTGCTGAACTGGCACCAGTGTCTTCTGCAGTTTCGGGAGTTTGACTGTGCTAGTTTTATTGAAGGAAATGTAGCAACCAGAATCACCTCTGTGACCCTCCATAGCAGCCACCAGAATTGACTTATGTAGTGCTTCATTGCATCAGCTGTGTCTGTGGGAAGATAGGAGACAGCAAAGAA